TTATATATATATATATATATATATTATTATTATTATATTATATATATTTTTTTTCTTTTTTTTTTTTAATTGGAACCACAGTTGGTGACACTGAGAACTTGGGGTTCCTGTTGATCCTGCTTTCTTTGGGATTATTGGGCCAGGTCTAGCCAGGACCCCTTCTCTTTCCCAAGCAGAGGCAGAGACCTAAGGGGAGAGACAAGGGGTTGCCCCTTCTTTCTGCCCAAAGAGTAAGCAGTCACTGAGCACCTGCCGCCCACGTCCTCTTCACTTCTACTTCGGTTTTTTCCGTTTCCTTTCCCTTTGTGTTTGCTACACTGACCTCTTGTGGTCTCAGTGAGGTTCCAGTTAACTCTGTGTGAATCACGCCAGGGACTGATGATCTCATGTGTGGATTCTGAGGCCCCTCTGCTTCCCCTCCTCCCCTTCTGAGATTCCTTCCTTGTGATTGTTAAGTTTCTCCTTTTCCTCCAAGAGGGTAAAGAGGTGAACTTAGAGAACTTGGTGAAACATTTATAAGGGCAGGAGTTTAAAACTGCAGTCAGTTGGTTACCGGTGCCAAGCGTGATCAGAATCTGCAGATGACGCTCGGTGATCTTCGGACCTTGCACTTTAGCTGTCTTGGGAGGGGCCGAGAGGCAGGGAAAGCTGCTCCTCGGGAAGTGCATCCCTTCCCCACCCAAGCGGCAGGGAAGGCTGGGACCAGCCAACCAGGCCTAAAGGAATTGCCTAAGCAGTAGAGGAGGTTTGCCCTGCAGCGGTGACACGGACCACTTCCCGGGGAGGCAGACGTGTCTTGGAATGCTGCCCGTCCTCCTAAAGCATTCCTAGGAATTTGTCCTACCAATGGGGGGGAGCAGGACCGTGGACCCCCACGCCACTGGTAGGAAAAAGCCCAGGATAAAACCTAGAGGGTAAATCCTCTCTGCTCAGATAATCAGAACTTAGCAAGAAAAAGGGCAAAAAATCATGTTGGGTCAGATCACTGTCCCACCCAGCGTACTTCTCATGACAGTGATGCCAACGGAAGGTGACGGAGTGATGGGCAAATTGGGAGTTTTAAAAGAATGCCATAAATGTTGATTCTTAACAGCTACAGATAACCTGTAATTGCACAGGTTTAAAATTCAGATGTAATGTTCCATTGATTAACCAAGTGCTTTTGTTTTGCCTGATAGCTTCAGAAGGTTGTTCGTTCACAGACCTCAGGTCGCCCTGCCTGCTAGGGAATCTTTATAGGGTTGATGTTCAGCAGTAGTTGTAGGTGAAAGGGCAGGTTGTCCTAAGACTGGGAGGTGGGACCCTTGTCCACACCTCAGGCTAATGCGGACTCTTGAGGTCAGAACCCTCGCCTCTCTGTGGAGTCTGGCTCTGAGCCGAAGCCAGGCAGACATGCTCAAGAAAATTACAGAGGCCCTGGCCCCTCCAGACCTGAGCCTGCCCCCTTCCTCTGGATGACTCCTCTGTCTGTCTGTGAAAGTCCCGAGCCAGTGCCCTCAGACGACCTCCCACCCCACCCCACACCCCACAAACCACTGACTAGCTCACCCTCCGTCTGTCCCACCTCTTCAAACAGTAGATACATCCACGTCCGCACGGTTAGTCTTGTGGCTACTCTTCCTCTTTACTTTTGATCAAGATGAGGTATCACAAGTTTTAAATACGCTGAGGATGTCTTTGCGGAACACCAAAGTGGCCCAAGGGACTAGGAGGGAAAGAGTGCCTGTCTTCTAGAGTGGGAGGGGCCTGCCCCCCAGTCCTGTGAATCTACCCAAGGCACGTGAAATCAGCCCTGCCCCGCCCGGGAGGCAGCCCTTCTCCCTGGTACTTCGGGCTGGAGGGTATCACCTACTGATTCCTCGGCATGTTCGGCCCCTCTGGTCCATCTTGGGCAGTAGGATCTCCTGCAGAAGTTCAGACTCAGCTGCCCCTTGTCTAGCAAACTTGCAGTATTCAGTTTCTACTATAGGAAGAGAGCAGGGTTTCCCTGTATCCCACGTGTCTGCTGGAAACACGCCTGTGTTCGGCCCTGCACGGCCGCGCCCCCCGCCCCCACCCCTCTGAGTCACGCGGGACAGAGGAGGCAGAGCTCCCACTAGCGTGTTCTCTTCACTTCCGTCCAACCTTTGTTTTTAATAAGCAGGACCTTCTTCTCCCCAGCTTTTTTTTTTAATGATCTTTGTAGTTGATTTGTCTGAACTGTGGCTCTTGTGCATTCTTTGAATAATCACTTGTAAAAATTGTCGCTGCTTCAAGCTGTTTCCTTTACTCATGTTGAAGGGACTTTACTGGGTTTTGGGGTCTTGGCAGTGACTCCAAGAGCAGAGTGGGGAAGAGCCCGAGCGTAGACTTGGGTGCCACGATGGCTGCAGTCCGTTTTATGATTCCGCTTTTGTGTGTCCCTTGGTAAAAGTGACTAATAATACACATTCCTCATAAATAAAAAAAGAAAAGAGTCTGAATTGTTAGAAAGCCTCAAGTCTTGGTTTCTTGGGGGATGAGAAAGTGGGGACAGGCGGAGCTGTGATGCTGGGATTTCTGGCAACAGCACCAGCTGCATGTGACACAGAACCTGGGGAGGGGTCTCCCTCAGCCTGCAGAAAAGAGCCGTTTCAAAGGGCCTGCCTAGGAGATGAGCTTCCGTCAGGTGGGCTGGGGTGCATCAGGCAACCTTTAATTACCTCCCCAGCTCCACACACCCCTCCCCTACCAGACTCCACCATCAGGTATCTTGTCCACAGACTTGCTGTGCAGGGTTTCAGGGCCCAGAGTAGGGAAGCCCCCCTGGAGACCTCACAAATCACACACATGGCCCCTGCTCTCCTTGAGGGGTTTCTGCAGCCCTCCACCCCCAGCTGTTTGGCTCGCAGGGAGATACATATTTGGATCAGAACTGGCTTGGCTGCAATCTTCAGAGACAGGCCATTTGCTTTTTACTTCATAGATGGCATCCAGAAAATTTCTACGTCTTGATTTCAAAGAGAATATACCACTTTCCACGTAGCAATTTAGTCCAGAATTTTCTACGAGACTCTTCCTTGACCTTGTGAAAATACTGTACCAGAGGACACGAAGTGTCTGACAGCAAGGCTTCCTAAGTCACAGTGAAACCTCCCTTGTCCACTATACAGATGGAACAATTGAGGCCAGGAAGGCCTGTGATATGTTTGGGGGCACATTAATTAAGGACCAGAACTCTGCACAGGGGTCGCTCATAGTTTGTTGAAATACAGCTCTGGCCGAACAGAACAGTTTTTACAGACAGCAAAGGACCATCTCCGCCTGCTGTGAGCTACCAGGAGCCTTGAGCAGCCCCTGTCACACTGTCTGTTCTCAGGCACCTGGTTCCACCTGGAGGGAAATGCAGCATCCAGACCTTTTAGAAAATGGACCGTTCCCTTCATCCCTAAGGTGAGTGTGTGACATGAGACTGTTCCCCCGCCATCTGGCTCCCTGTGGGCTGGGAGCAGGGCTGCCTCACGGGAGCGCTAGAGGGATTTCCTTCAGCTCAGCTGTTCTCCCTGCATCTCATCTGGGGCCACCACTTCATACTGCTCCCCAGATGTGGGCCCAGACCAAACCAGCGTTCCAGGAGCAGGTCCAGAATCCACACACACGGCCTTGACTTCCCAGAGCACAAGGGCTGTGAGCGGAGGCCCGGCCATCCCCGCCTCTGGGAGACCGGTCTTCACCTCTGCCCTGTCCTCCAGGGTCCCTCGACAAAGGGCCTCCCCAGGAGCTATTTCTGGGCTCTGTCTGCTCTGGGCCCAGCTATTTGGCCGTATCTTTTCCATTTGATGAATAGGCTTGCAAGGCTTCTTCAGACCCTTGTACTGTCTTGAACCTCTCACGGTCCATTGTCCCCAGTATTCTCCCTTTTCCCCTTATTTGCCAGCCCTGGCCCATGAGGATTTCCCCGTTACCCCCAAATATAACAGAGATAAGACATCTTTGGAAACAACTTTCTTTATGAGAATCTTGAGTTCCTAATTTGTCTGGCCTGGGGTGGGCTAGACCAGTGCAAATATTCCAGGATCGCAGGCAGGGGTGGCCAAGGCCAGCGTGGGGGCGATGGGGGTCCACGAGTGGGTGAGGGAGGTGTCCTAGTGACTCCTAGAGCCCAGCAGCCCCTTGGGACCCTGTAGCCACCGCACTGACCTCCGAGGCCCATGGGATGAGTACTGAAAGGTGGCTGCTTATTCTCTGTCTAATCTGGGCGGCGACTGGCCGGCACTAGCCAGCCTGTGAGGGATGCTGTGATGCCAGCCCAACTCTCCCTACAAGCAGAGGGTGACAGTTGGAACTGAGTGGGGAGGGGCTTCAGAGAAGACCCCAAATGCCTCACTTCCCTCCCAAGGAGTGCTCCTCCGCCCTCCTGCCTCGAAGGCCACACAGAGCCTGGACTCTGGGCTCAGTCCTGGGTTTGAGGCCCAGCATTACTCACCAGCTGTCACTTGGTCCCCCTGAGCTTCATTTTTCTTTTGTCAACAGGGCCCCCTTCCCTGCAGGGTTGTTGTGAGATAATTAAGACGGTGTGTGAAGCAGCTGGCCCAGAGCGGGCCACCAGGAAACAGGAGCTGATACTGGGATTGGAAGGAGACGCAGAACAGGAGCCCCCAGATCCACCCTGTCTCCTTAGAGGGAAGCCACCTTGCCCTTCCCGCCCAGATAGAAAAAGCCAGCTGCGTGCTGCCCACGTCTCACTTGCTTTTACACCTGCGATAACTTGGTACCAGCTGTTCCAGGATTAGATAACTCACTGCCGGGGCACTGCCTCCCACCTGCCGCAGTGCCAGCTGTCAAAAGCGAGTCTTTCGTGCCCTCTTCTCTGACAAAAATGGTTTTCCGATGGCCTGCGGCCTTCCTCTGATGGCGACAATCCCAACTGTTTCCTTGCTGTCCCTCCCAAGCCCACCTTGCTTGGGTTTGTTCCAGGATCTCCACCTCCCCCTTTAGATCTGGGGCCTCCAGTCCTGGCCCGGCACTGAGCTGGGTACCCAAGTTCTCTCCAAAGACAGCCCCCCTCCACGGAAGGGGCCAAGGGGCTGCCCTGACAACCCCAAGAGAAGAAGACGGAGGACCCACGACCGGAAGAGACTGGTTCTCCAAAGCGCCCCAGCGCCCTGAAGGTTAAGACTCTACTGACATGGGGTGACACCTTGCCTGAGCCCTCCTTCCTCTACCTCTGTCCTCCCCTCCTTACCACTGGCGTGGTCCCCGAGGGGCTGCACCCAGTGATGGAGGGAATGGCAGTGCCCCAGGGACCCTGCCCCATTAACCCCTTCTTACATATCAGTCCCTCTCTTCCTTGCTGCAGCCCTCAGCCAGCTCTGTCGCCCCATGTCACAGATGAGGATGAGCAAGTTCAGAGTGGTACAAGGTTGGGCCGTAGTCTCCGGGCCTCGGTTTCCCTGTGTGTCAGGTGGGTCGTGGAGAGGAGGTAGACAAGCTGCTCCCCAACAGCCCCTCTGGCACTGTCTGTGACTTACTTGGGCAACAGCCACTTGTGGGAAGTGCTGAAAGCAGGTCCAGCCACAGCAGCCGCTGACGGGCCTCCCCAGCAGCTCAGGCCCTGGCGAGGAGCCCAGGAGAGCTGGGCAGGAGGGCCCCAGGCCAGCACCTACCCTTCAGAGGGAGGGTTTCTGTCCACTAGCTGTTTCGGGTTCTGGGATGTCTCCTCAGGCCTGCGAGTTTGCAGTGGGTCCAGGCATAATACAGGCAACTCTCAAGTTGCTGTTCTCGAAGAAGGGAGTCTCCACAGTGCTGAGACACTCACCTCCCAGAAGAGATGTCCACCAACAGGTGGGGAAATGCGCTGAGCACATCATATGCGGCTGCTGGCTTAACATCCCAGTGATGTTCTTCCATGGCCAGGACGGGACGAGGTCACCTGGGTGGCCTGAGCACACGCCTGCGTCGGGAGGAGCTGATCCGGAAGGGAGGCCAGGGCCAGAGCTCAGCCCGGGTATGGAATGCACCTCTGCGGAGGGCGCGCCAGAGAGCGGCCTGCCCGACAGACTCACCCCAGCGTCCCCTGCATTGTTCCTCTCCAGCTCCAGCTCCCCTAGACCCAGGCCCTGTTTCAGGGGACTGTTTGCTGCAGGGTAAGCTGAGCCTGGGAGGAAGACGATATGACAGGCGGCCGGCTCTGACTGCCTCTCAGGCTCGACGTTCACGAAGCATTACTCTGCTCCAGGCACAGCGCTGGGCTGCTTCACAAACCACACTTCTTCCTCATGGCAACCCCACAAAGGGGGCCTTACTCTCCCCGTTTTATAGGTGAAGAGGCTGAGGCCTAGGGAGACCAAGAGGCTTGCTCCAGATGGCTGAGTAAGTGCTAGCGGGTACTAGAACCCAGACTCCGGTCCCTGGCCAGTGCTCTTCACCTGCGCTGTGTCATCTCCCACCTCCGCTGTGCCTGGAGGGGCAGGAGTCCAGCCAGGCTCCAGAGAACAGAACAGGCAGGCCCCTCGGGTGCGCTGGGCAGACTGACCCCTCTGTGGCCACCCGTTGGCCCAGCACTGAGCCCAGGCTGGGACCACAAATCAGAGCCAGTCATTTGGCCAGGCCAGGAGATCCCTTAAGAGGCCTGTTTCCTGGGTTAACAGGCCAGGTGGCCTCCCGCTGGCCCCTGAGAACAGCGTCAGGATACGGCCTCCAGGGACCCACAGGATGGGAGGCTGAAGCCTGTGCCCGCGGTTTAGTCCGCTGTGCAGACCAGCGGCGGCGGACCTGTCCTTCCACAGCTCTGCTTCAGCCCCGCGCAGGTTTGGTTGGGAGGGGGAAGGGGAGGAGCCAGAGCAGGAAGGATGGAGCCTTGAACAGAAGGATGGGAGCAGGAGCCGTGCTGATGTGGCAGAGTTCTGGCCATTCACACCCTGCTTGGCTGGCCTCCAGAGCCAGCCCTCTACTGCCCAGCCTGCTCTGCTGCGGGCAGAAGGGCTGGGTCTGCTTAAAGCTAACACCCTTAGTTTACTTACTCCAACGACCAGTCGGTTCAAACAGGGGGAAGAAAAACAGCCTATGAACTTGAACTCCCACAGTTTGGGAATTTGGACCTCAAACCTTCAAGCAGATCACCCAAAGACTCAGAGGCTCCCCTAATACCTAGGCTTGCCCCCCTCCATACCTGGCCTGAGCAAGAAAGAAAGAAAAAGGAAGTTTAGGGGGTACAGAGAATTCTTCACTGGGAGAAGGGGACCTGGGACTGAGGTCTGGACCCCTTAGAAATGAGGGGCTGTGGGACTGGGCTGGAAGCCTCCCCCAGGACGCTGACCACAGTACCAGGCTAACCTCTGGGCAGGAAACCCTGCCCTCTGTGAGGCCCACCCAGCCCAGCTGCTGTCGACTTAAATGAGCTGAGCAAGTCACACCCGGCCTCTCCCCTTACTCCTCCCTTCTGAGTGCCATGGTGTCAGGCCAGCCCAGCACAGAGCTGGAGCCCCTGTCCTGCCCCATCCTCCCACGCACCCCTTCTCCCATGACTTGGAGGCAGCAGATGATTCTGTTCCCTTCTTGGCCCCTTCCCCATCACACTCTCCTCAGGATCGAAGGCTCTGACATCTTCATCCTCCACTTCTTAGCCTTCATCCTCTACCAGCAACACTACTGTTTGCATCAGTATGCGAGGAGGAGAGCAGCCAGAACTCGATGCAGCTGACCCAGCCTCCAGGTTGACGCTGGCTGGGTGTAGCGGGACGGGGTGGGGGAGGGATTCTGGGTGAACTGAAAAGATGGGTCTGTGGGGGCAGCACCCCTCTTCCTGGTAGCTCACTTGTCCCTCCTCCACCCAAAACTATTGTACAACAGAGGGCAGAGGGGTGAAGGAGCATGGAGTTGGGGAGGGCCTCACTTGGAGCTGGGAGCCGAGTGGTCTGCATGGAGGAAGGTGGCAGAGGTATAGTTCTGGAAGAGAGGCTGCAGGAACATGCCGATGGTGCCAAAGACACAGACGAAGACAAAGATCCAGAGGAACAGACGGTCAATCACCATGGCGACATACTTCCAGTCCTCACTCACCTGGACAGAGGAGATGAAGGAGACCCAGGTATCAGTCACATGATACAGGAGAGGATTGGATCAGGGATAAGCAGCTTCCACCACACATCACTCCTCTCCCTTCATTACCCCAGAGTAACCTTCCCAAAGCAAGGCTCCAATCTTGCCTGCTTTAAAAGCCTCCAGTGGCCCCAGTACCTTCAGCAACCATCCAAACTCCCAATCTAGAATCAAGACAAATACATGACAAATATAAGCCAACTTCCCATCTTCTTCCACCCTCTAACCTGGCTTACCAAACTCCAGTCTGTCCTCAGGTCTCTTTGCCTTTGAGTTTCCTTTCTGGCTAGAATTCCAGTCCTCCCTTGCTCTGCCTGTGAACTCCTACACATCCTTCAAAGCCCAAATCAAATGTCACCTCTTCTCTGAAGGCTTCCCTGATCCCTCTGATCAGAATGAACCACTGTCTCTTCTGGGTCCCCTCAGTACTGTGTACACATCTCTGTGACAGTAATTTTACTGCACTGTATTGTCATTTTAATTTGTATGCCTGTCCTCTCCCCCTCCCCACCCCCAACCTTAAGCTATGAGCTCCTAAACTACAGGGACCTGATCTGATTCATTGTTGTAATCCTAGCATCTCAAACACAAAGTGCCAGTAAACGGGTGTTGAATTAGTAAAGGAATGGCTGCCTCTGCAGGCCTCGCTCCTTATGGCTACTTAGGGAGCCCCATCCAGTTGCCCCAGAGGGTGAGGACTGGGTCCCAGATGTAATCAAATCTGCCCAAAACAGAATAACCTCTGTGGGTCTGGGAGCCAGTCACAGGACCTGCGGGAGGGCTGGCTTCCACACACAGCTGCTCCACTCCAGCCTGAGCCTGGACCTTTGTACACATGTTCGTCTGCAGCCCGGCTGGCTGGGCAGATGGGAAGGAGGCAGCTGCACCCCTCCACTTAGTCAGTGGCTAAATAATGTCTCGTTCATGTCACGCTTGTACCTACTATGTACCTGGCACCATGTGAGGTACGGGGGATGTGACTGAGAGCAGGACAAACTCGTCCTGCTGTTTATAGTCTAGTGAGGGAGAAGGATACAAAATAAGTAAAATAAAATAACTACACACTGGTAGGTGTTTATACAAAAACAAAGGACTGAGACAGAGAAACAGAAGGAAATATATAATTCAGGGTGTGATCTGGGCAGGCCTCTTTGAGGAGGTGACATTTAAGCTAAGCTCAGATAAGTGAGAAGGAGCCAGCTGTTTCAGGAATAAATTGAAGAAAGAAACAGACAAACCCAAGATAAGGGAACTTTGATTGGCTTATATCCTTCAAAAATGTTTATGCCATGAAAAACGAAGCTGAGGAACAGTTCCAGATTGAAGAAAACTAAGATACAGAACGATTAAATATAATTCAAGATCCTGGGTTGGGGTGGGGTTGATGCTACAAAGGACATTACTAAGATAATTGAAAAAATTTTAGTATGGACTTTATATTAGATAAAGGTATTATACTGATGCTAAATTTCCTGTATTTGATCAGTGAATATGTGTCATGCAAGACAGTATCTCGGTTCTTAGGAGAGACAAACTGAAGTATTTAGGATAAAGGGTCATGGTGTCCACAATTTTCTCTCAAACATTAGAGCAAAAATAATAGTAATAATTTTTTAAAGGGAAAAAAGGGCATTCCAAGTAGAGGGACATATACGTGCAAAGGTCCTGAGGCCAGAAAGAGTTTAGCTTGCTTAGAACAATTGAGCAGATCAGCTAATGACCTGAGTAGTAGGGAAAAGGCACAAGGTGAGCAGGAGACATTGTCTGTTTGGATGGATGAGCACAAGTGCTGAATCAGAGAAACCATTAGGAGTCTCTGGCCTGCCCAGGCAAGAGCTGATGGAGGCCACCAGCCAGGGAGGTAGTGTGGAGATGGTGAATAAAGGATGAAGCTGAGGATTATTCTGGAGGTTGGGCTCACAGGCAGAACTTCTGATTACGTGGATGGTGGGGGAGGGAAGAGAGAAAGAAAGGAGTCAAGGATCACTCCAGGTTTTTGGTCAAAACCATTGGGTGGATGGTGATGTCATTTACTAAAAGATGAGGAGATTGGAGGAGAAGCAAGTTGGTGGTGGGGCTGTGGTTCAAGCACTCAGTTTGGACATGTTCAGTTTGAGATGCCTGTGAAGCAGCCAAGTAGGTCATTGCATCTTCATCACCTAGCTCAGTAAATGCTCATTACATTATGACTGGACTGCAGCAGGGGAGGCGGAGGCAGTGATGCAGCTGGCTGAGCCCCTGTACCACTGGCATCTCCCACTTGGCCTCAGCCACCCATGAGGCTCCTGCCCCAACTCCTCATGCCTCAGTCCCCCTCTGCTTCTATCAGGACCATAACCTGATCCCTGGCTCAAGCCTCAGATCCAGCTCCATATTCTCCCCTCCCAGGGAATAGAAGTGCCAGGCTCTGAAGCATCCCACTACCCAAATTGGTAGTGCAGGAGCCCACCCTACCTCACCCCCTAAACCAGAATGGTTGCATACCAGTGTAAGCATGGCCAGTCACCATGGCAACAGCTGAGCCACAGCCTGGAACCAGCCAGGTGCCCAAAGACTGTGGGTCCAGGCCAGCCACAGCCCAAAGTGGGGGGAAGTCAACTCATCATACTTCCCCCCATTCCCTGACTCAGAGTTCAGGGAGCCCCCTTCTGGGGAGCCACTGCAGAATGAGCTGGATGTGCAGAAAGCTAGGGGGCAGGTCTAGGAAGCCCTGGCCTCCCCCTGCCCCCACCTCCATAAATATTTCACGAGGCCATCCCCCAGGACCCAGAAAAGCAGGAAAAGGATATTGATTTGGGACTCTGTCCTCACCAAAGCGGCTGGTGGAACCTCTTAACCCTACCCCCCATCCCCTACCATACACACTTTCTACTGCCCTCAATTTTGAGCCCGCCTCTCCCGTAGGGCACACAAAGGACTCATCTCCATTTGTGCTGAGTTGCAGGTTAACAACGTGGGCTTGGAATACACGCGGCAGGGAGGGTCTCCTGGGGTCACGGACAGGCCAGCTGCAAACCCAGAAGGGCCTCCTCCCCTTTTCTGGCAGCCCTCTCCACACTAGGGATGCCCCAGCTGAGGCGTTTCGCTCTGCATACTAGTCCTCAGGAAGCCGCAAGGTCATCCTGTACGAACTCCAATTTAGGCGGCACCGCCTTCCAGAAGCCAACAAAGAGCCCACGCCAGCGCCCAGGCCCACGGCACCGGGCTGGACTCTCATTTCCCGCACCCTGCACCCGCATTAGCTTTGCGCGTGTCTGCTCAACGCTCTGACCTCCAGATACCGAGGGCCCTGCCGCCGCGCATCCCATGCCCGCGTCCCGGCTCTGGGCAGCACTCACGCTCTGGTCGTCGTCCTCGCTGCGCATGTGGTCCGCAATGAAGCGCACGCCATCCACTGCCTCCCGGAGACCGCAGCCACACGGCCCCCCGGGGCGCCCGGGGCCTGCTGCCGACGCCGATTCCGCACCGAAGGCCCCAGCCAAGCCCTGCACCGACGCGCGGTTGACAAAGCACGTGCAGGAGTCAGCCCCC